TTCCTTCCTTCCTTTTCTTTTCTTTTCTTTTCTTTTCTTTTCTTTTCTTTTCTTTTCTTTTCTTTTCTTTTCTTTTCTTTTCTTTTCTTTTCTTTTCTTTTCTTTTCTTTTCTTTTCTTTTCTTTTCTTTTCTTTTCTTTTCTTTTCTTTTCTTTTCTTTTCTTTTCTTTCTCTTCTCTTCTCTTCTCTTCTCTTTTTTTCTTTCTTTCTTTCTTTCTTCCTTTCTCTTTCTTTCTTTCTTTCTTTCTTTCTCTTTCTTTCTTTCTTTCTTTCTTTCTTGATTTTTAGAGGCTGTTTGCCTTAGGGCATGTGCACACTGTAGAGCAATAGACAGAGACAGTGAAAGGGAAAGTGAGAAATCATCTCCCCTCGGGAGATGGCCATGCCATAATCTCTTCTCTTCCATTCTCCTTCTGGGATCTTGGGCACACACGCACACAGGCCAGTATGAGTTTCAAACCACCGGTCCAGGACTCGAACCACAGTTGGCTGTATTAGAGTCCAGCAATGTAACTAACTGCTATGCCATCTGCTGGTTCCAGAAAAACAATTTTAAAAATCAATAAAACCAAGAGTTGGAGAGAAAGCGCCACAGTCAAAAGACAAGTGTTAGAAAGATATTTGTGACACTTACTACAGATGAAGCCTATTAACTCTAACACTGGGTTATCACAAAAGTCATGACACATTTTTGCAGAGGAAAGCAGAAAAAAAAGTCATGACTTTTCCAACAACCCAACATATAATGTTTGAAAAGTTTAGGAGGGAAAGAATACAAATTGGACAGGAAAAAAATAACATGAACCAGCAGTTAACAACAATAACAGAAAGGCCTTAAACACACAAAAAGCTATATTATAGCCACTCTCCTTCTCATTCACTATGTTTCTTTTCTTTTATTTATTATTTATTTTTTGGGGAGGTTTTTTGCTATAGGGCATGCACTTGCCAGAAAGACAGAGAGAGACAGAGAGACGAAAGCGAGAAATCACCCCCCATGGGGGATGGCCACATGGCAATCCCTTCTCCTCCATTCTCCTCTCGGGATCTTGGGCACGCACGCACATGCGCCCGGCATGAGTTTAAGCCACCGGGTCTGGGACTCGAACTGCAGTCGGCTAAATGGGAGTCCAACAACATAACCATTACGCTAACTGCTGGTCTCTCATTTACTATGTTTCTAGAACATTCCAAACTTTATTCCTATTCAGAAACTTCATATTATTTATTCCTGTTAATGCTCTCACCCCGTCCCTAAATCTAAATTGCTAGCTTCTTTCAATTCCTCAGATTTTTCACTTAAAAGCCACCTCCTCAGAGAAGTGTTCTCCAATCCTCTATCCAAAGTCCTATCTGTCTCTCTACTGTAGTTATTTTCATGATAGAAAGCATGTATGCACATATGAAAGAAAAAAAGAGAGAAGGACCTTTGAAAAGGGTCTCTGTTACATAATCCCCTTTCCCTAGCCCTCCAGCTCCTCAGGAACTTGGGTACCTGGCATACTTTCAGGATGACCCAGGGATCTGAACACATGGTTGGCATACGGCCTCCAGCACAGCAGTTTAGTACATTACAGACTATGCTATCAGGCTGGGCTCACCATAATCATTCTTGATCCGGGTGCCCTTTTAATTTTTTCAGAACATAGCACAACCTTGGGACCAGCAGTTAGCGTAATGGCTATGTTGCTGGACTCCCATGTAGTCGACTGAGGTTCGCGTCCCAGACCCGGTGGCTTAAAACTAACGCTGGGCGCGTGTGCGTGTGTGTCCAAGATCCCGAGAGGAGAATGGAGAAGGGATTGTGGCATGGCCATCCCCCCCTGGGGGGTGGTTTCTCGCTTTCTATCTCTCTGTCTCTGTCTGTCTGGCGAGCGCATGCACCCTATAGCAAAAACCTCCCCAAAAAAAAAAAAAAAGAAGAAGAACATAGCACAACCTGTACTACATTACAGGTTTCAACGTTAGCTTTCTAAGGAAAGGTGCTCTCTTGCCTTGTTTACCACTGGATTGTTAGGGAATACTCACAAAACTTGGTGTATATGTCTTTTTTTATTTTATTATTATTTATTTAAAGAATTATCGGTTTAATTTTATTTATTTATTCATTCATTTATTTTAATTTGACCAGAGAGAGAGAGAAAGTAAGACAGCAAGCCACAAGGTCCAGGACTCAAACCGTGGTTGGCCATATGGGAGCGTCCAGCGCCTTAACCACGACAACCACTTTCTGGTCCCCCTAATTATTATTATATTTAATTTGACCAGAGAGAGAGAGAAAGTAAGACAGCAAGCCACAAGGTCCAGGACTCAAACCGTGGTTGGCCATATGGGAGTGTCCAGCGCCTTAACCACGACACCACTTTCTGGTCCCCCTAATTATTATTATATTTAATTTGACCAGAGAGAGAGAGAGGGAAAATGAGAAAGCAAACCACCAGGTCCAAGACACAAACCGTAGTCAGCCATGTGGGAGTCCAACACCTTAACCATCATGCCACCGGCCAGCCCCAATATATAATATTTAATAAAAGTAAAGTCATGAGAATTTAAGTAGAATACTAGCTTTTGAAACATAAGATGTGAAACCACCAGAATGAAAACAAAACAAAACAAACAAACAAAAAAAACCAAGGTCCAACATGTAAAATTGCAGTGAGATGCTCAAAGAAAAGGTTCAAAGAACTAACAATAGAGTATGGAACAGATTATACACATTTTTAAAAAAATTTTTTTTAAAAAATGGGGCCAGCAGGTGGTGTAGTAGTTAAGGCGCTGGACTCCCACATGCCCAACCACAGTCCAAGTCCCGGACCTAGCGACTTGCTTTCTCACTTACCCTTTCTCTCTCTCTCT